TTTGTACATGGGAAATAATATGTGTCACCTTGAATAAACAACACATTCAACAAAAAAAGTTCCTCTTCACAATATCCTTCATTTAACTTGGTATTGTTTTAGAACTCTCTCTATATATCTACACCTACACACAAACACACACACATGCACACACCCCCTGTATATTTATACACACATATATATGCAAACACGCATATATACAGACATACATATATACACTTATTCTTTCTATTTTATAACATAATGTATTTTATGTCTACATGCACCATCTAACAAATTTGTTAAAAGGAAACAATTGTAACACTAAACTAAAATTCCTGTGAAATAGTCTTTTGTTGGATGAAATTCTAAAAAGAGTTGGACCCAAAACAATATGCTGTAAAACAGAGTGGCCAACATTACAATTCCATTTTGAGAAAATTTGCTAAAATATTAATATTCCCAATTACTGGTTTTTAGAAATATTTTTATTTTTTGAGAACCATGGATGGAACTGTAACAATTTATGAATCTATTTTTGCAAAATTAAAATGTTTTAGTTTTTCCCTCTGTTTCCTTCTTAAAAATTCATAAACAATTTTCATCTAATTATTCCTGCTCTGTTATTTGTAAGGATGAAAAGTTATAGTAAGTTGAATAGCCAATAGTCTTTGATAATGTGCCTAATATATAAAGCATTTATTATGTCTTGCTTATTAGAAAAGTATAAGAAAGCTAAAATTAACAAAGGAATATTAAAAACTCTATAATTATAGTCATTTATAGCCATTACTGATATCTTTATATATATCTTTTTATGTTTACAATATATATACAAAGTATATATACATATACTTTCTATAACCAAGATCATACCATCCTTACGGCTTTATAAGCTACTATTTTCAGTCATTAACCAACCACTGGAAATTTTGTTTATTTCAAACAAAAGAGAGTATATTTCTATTTCAAACACTACACAATAGAAAAAGTAGAATTAAAAATATAATCAAGTAAAATTATTTTTAAAAATAGAAATATTCTTAAAAGGATGAATAAAATCTCTAAGCTCTAAAAGCACCCCACAGAACACCATAGCATTTATTTTTAATAAAATTGCTAGTTTTTGTTTGGTTTGTTTTGGCCAAAAAAATAACATTGCACGTTATCTTTACCCCAATTGCCACTGGCCAACCTGCTCTAATGTAAATAGCTCTTCAGCCAATGACAACCTGGCACTGAAAATGATCAGGATGATTAAATGCAGGTTGAGCGTCAGTACTGAAAAAGAATAATGAATAGAAGGTTATATTCAAGAAAGATCTGGGAAAACATAAGGGATAATCTGAGTGTGTACCCAGTGTCTTGCATTGGGCTAAGCACTTTATGAATAAAGGATCATTTAATTTTCGTAACTCTGGTAGGTAGATCGAACAAAGGCCATTCTGTAAATGCCATTCCCTAACCGTGGAAGACTGGGTAAATGACCCCAAATCACACAGTTGGTGAGCAGAATCTGTAATCTTTGACTCCCAGGCTCACACAGGGTTTGCCAGTAAACTGGCTGTACTGAGAGGAGTATGTGGCAGGCTGAAGATTATTCCAGGGCTCCTTGCGTCAGAGAGAGATGACACCTGTACTGAACTGATAGATTTCATTAAAAACCGCAATTTAATATTTGTAATTTTCTCTCCTTCTGTGCAGATACTATCAGAGTCCAGTGGGAATTAAATTAAAACAAGGAGCTTCATCTCGACATCTCTCTTTTAGGACAAAGCAGAACACAAACACTGGTAGGAACCCGAGTTGTTTATAACTTTATCCTAGTGGTGCTGCTCCATTAAATGACATGTTGAAAGAGAATTCAATGTTTTAATTGCATTTAGTGCTAATTAGACCCTTATACTGTAGGTGAGACACACATTTTCATTGTGTTCTTTTCCTTTTCTCATTAGTTATCCCTAATTTTCAGGATGATTATTAACATAACACAACGTTAATATGCTCAGGAGGTGCCAGAGAAGATTATGTGTCATGCTGCGATTCATTAAAGCCAGAGAAAGGACTGCTTCATTTTTCAATTTTTTAACAGATAATTCATTTTATAATCTTGAAAGATAAATTTTCTGCTGTTCAGAGCTTTCTATTAATACTTTTTCTTTGAAAAATGGCAATTCAACCGTACCTATCTACCAGGGGGAAATTTAAGGGATATCTTTAACATTCTTAAATTGCTTGCCTTTTCCAGCGTGGAATTATTTTTTCATATGGCTTCAGCACCTTCGTCCTGAAAAAGCCTATTTAAGAAATTTTACTGACTTCTTGATTATTTTTGTATTTTATTTAAGAGAACTTCAAGATTTTTTCCCACTTCTCAGACATATATTAATTGTTAGAAGATAACCTCACCCAATTTTATGGTTTTTCTGTGGTATGATGTGATGAAGACCAAAAATCCCCTTATGCCCTTTTTAAAAAATAGACTTTTGAAAATTGTTCTCTGGATAAGTTGATACTGGTACTACCTGAAGGCTGAAATTTTTCCTAGCTGTGCTATTCGGGTTTGTTGCTCAGAACCTCACACCCAACAGAGATTATTTATTCCTTAAATTTGCTGTGACTTCCTGAAAGGAAAATACCAAACCATTGATAATTAGCGAAATTATGCAAATATCAAGTCATTCATAACTATTAAAGAAAATATATACAAGAATACTTCATAACACAGTGTTAAGATCATACTCATTTAGAACATATAGATACGTCCCATAAATATTAATCTGATCATTGCTGATATATGAGAAATGACTACCTCATTTAAAATATGCAAGTTGAAAAAGATACATTGATTATTTCCCAATGGAATAATATTTTAGGAACAATAGTACACTAAAGTGTATTTCAAAGATAGAACTTACGTAGTCGTTACACATTAAGGAAATGTCAGCATTCTATACTGAAGAAAAACTACTATTCTATACTGATGCTAAAGGTGAGTTCTAGAAATGTTGGCTCACTATTTGGTTTCAAGGGCAACAGCAAAATGCCTGAGCATCTAATAGAATTGTGTTTTTGATAACTTATATGCACTATGCGTGCTGAATTGAGAATACTTTGAGAGTGAGATTACTAGGTAAAAAGAACTACTCAGATAAAATAACTAACAATGACTGCGAACTTTTATTGAGAGATTTCAAGGAGCCAGGCACTACGCTCAGTGCTTTATATGCATTTTTTTCATTTATATTCATAACAAATTTATTTGATGGTATTCTCATCACTTTACAGGCCTGATGCTTACAGAAATTAAGGAAACTGTCCGAGGTTATGCAGCCCAGGACTGTTAAAGGATAAAAATCCAGGTTGTCTTTCTCATTATGCTTTTGGAAAAGAAAGATAAATTTAAATATTAAAACTTTATATTTTGGCCTTTATGTTTTGTATTCATTAACCTTATGTTTCATGATCTTGGGATTTAACATATTTATAACATTTGATTAAACTTTAACCAATATTGCCTTAAATGAAAAGCTCCCCAGTTCCCTTAGTAATTCCTGTCATGGCAGAAGGAGCAGGGGCTACTATTCATTTTCTGCCTAGAGAGGGGCCTTTTCCCCGACTTTGGTCTCAGCCTCATCCCACTCTCTAACTTTAGCTCTAATCCAGAGGAGTAAACCCACAAAGAGCCCCTCCCTCAAAAGTGGACTCAGTTTCACCTGGCCTTGCCCTATTGAGCTGTTACTTAATCCCTAGGTGAGAGTGTTCGGAGCTGCCCCCAGGGCTTACTAGGTTTGGAAGGCACATTGTTCTCCTGAGATGCCTGTTCTCTGCTGAGTGCAGAAATCCTTCTTCCACTGGCTCTTCTAAGACTTCAATCTGTGCCCTTTCACTTATTCTTCCTGCCCAGCTTGGATTCCTCATCAATGCCCTATATCTTAAACCAACAGTGAGGCCTTTGCCTGTGCTCATGTGTCCTGTAAGGACTTATCAATCTGTTTCTGACGTGTGGACTTGATTACACAGTTTTCAGGTCCAAATCTCATCTCTCTGGCTTAAAATTCTGGGTTCTGAAACCAAGAACTGGATAAACTCAAGTTCTCGTTCATACTAACTTGCGTTCTCTCTACCAATCCCATCTTCCAGCCAACCTACTGTATTTGATTACCAGCATCTCTCAGTCACTGCCACCCATACTATAGTGTTCCATCTTCCCCAAACATACTTTTTTGCTAGAAATCATAAAAAAAAAATGTGGCACTGTTTCACCAAGCATTAAAAATAGATAATTCCTAAATATTAACTAAACTGAAGACTAACAAGAAAAATATGAACCCCTCCCCTTTTATCAGAGAATTATTTTATCTTCCAAGAAGAACACCTTAAAATTACCAGAAAGCTGAATAAGCTTCTTCCTTTCATCTTTATGAATTTAGAGCTTTTTAAACATTTTTTTAAAACTTTATTTTTCGAATGATGTCTCTAGATTTAACCAGCAGCTAGATCAAGAAATAAAGCGCTATCAGTCTCTCCCTAAGAATAACAACAATTTTGATCAGATTCGGCTTTCTTGTTTTCGATCTCTACATAAACGAACTTAGGAAATTTGTATTTTTTGTCTGAATTCTTTTGCTCATATTATATTTCTGAGATCCCTCCATGTCATTGCATGTAGCAATAATTTATCTGTTTTCATTAGTCTATAGAACTCTATCATATAGATATACTACAGTTAATATATGTACTATTGCTGGACATTTAGGTTGTTTTCAGCTTTTTAAAATTTTTTTACATTTTTTTTTTTGAGGAATATTAGCCCTGAGCTAACATCTGCTGCCAATCCTTCTCCTTTTTTTTTTTTTTTTTTTTTTGCTGAGGAAGATTGGCCCTGAGCTAAGATCCGTGCCCATCTTCCTCCACTTTACATGTGGGGTGCCAGCCACAGCATGGCTTGCCAAGTGGTGCCATGTCTGCATCCGGGATATGAACTGGTGAAACCCAGGTTGCCGAAGCAGAACGAGTGAACATAACCCCTGCACCACCATGCTGGCCCCTGTTTTCAGCTTTTTGGTATTACAAATAGTGAACATATCTACAAATAGTGGATTTTTGTACATATTTTGTATGTACATGTATACGTATGCATTTCAGTTGACTAAATACTTAGCAGTAGACATTCTGAGTCAAGGGCTATGCATATGTTCACACTTAATAGATGATGTCAAACTGTTTTCCAAAATGCTGTACTAATTTATACCCCACCAGCAATATCTGAGAACTCCAGTTGTTTCAAAATTTGGTTTTGTCTGTCTTTTGTATTTCAGCCATACTGATGAACATGTGGTGGTTTCTTATGGTTTATTTTGTAATTCCTTAGTAGTTCATAAAGTTGAATGCCTCTTTATATACTTTTTTGCCAATTTTTATATCCTCTTCATGTAGTGCTTATTCCAATCTTATTTTTTCAGGTTTTTTGTTTTGTTTTGTTTTCATTCATCAATTTGTTAGAGTTTTTTATATAGTTGGGATTGGAAATCTTTGATATTAGCTTGCAACATATCTTTGGGTCTATTGGTTTTAGGTGGTAATAAAGTCTTTAAAATTACTATGAACCTCATTGACTTTGTCTTTTTATAGTTTACTGGGATCACAAAAGATCATGACTATCTAGGAAAGAAATCCTGGGCACAAATAAAATGAAGCACTATAAAAAAGAGATTTAAGTTTACAAAAACTAGTAGAGCTACCACATAAAGTTTCAGGAATCTCCAGTTTAAAGTTTTATTGTTCCAGTTTATTAGAATGCATTTTTGTGAATCCAGCCATTGCTGCTCCTGTTTTTGAATAATTAGAAAAAAGTCTTTTTAGAATTCTCAGATGTACAGTGACTTAGGAGCTAACCGATATAAATTATATTTTCTTTGTGTACATAATCTTTCCCTAGGCCTGCTGGTTTTCATTAATGTAAATTAATTGGAACCACTAGAGAAAGCCATCCATTGTTTATAAATTACTTGGAACTAAATTTTCTTCCTAACACATTTTTTAAAAATCTAGTAGTTTACTCTGTTTACTTTTAATAGGCAATTCAAAGTTAAAATGTATTTGTAGAAATATGAATAAAAACATTTTTAAAAGCTCACTTTACCATTTTCACTTGGATTGGTGTTATAGGTCTGCTGTGTCAGGTCAGCACAACACAAAGTTAAATGGAGGTTTAAGAAATTACAGGACATTTTCAAGCAAAAGTAATTCTTATTTGCCTGAATTATCTTTGCAATTGTGTTTTGCCATGCATTTCAGGAGAACTCTGAGATTTTTAAACTGAGTGTCAATATCCCTACAAGATGATGGAAGGTACCGTCCTGGAAGCATAATGTGAAAGCATATACACAGTCACCCCTGCTCTACGACATAGAAAATTGTCTACGAGAAAATGCAAGCTTGACTCAAAAGATAATATTCTACATCCATACCCTGGATTGTTACACATTTAATCATCTGAAAGACATGCAGCCATTAAATAAATTCTAATCCCTCTAGAGTATGATCAGACTTCGAAATATATGAGCCACCAATGAATTTAGGAAAGGCAAAATGATTTGGTCATTCACCAAATACACTACTTTCGCTTCATGTATTATGTCCAACGGCTTAACACAAGATGTCCTCAAAGTTTCTACTTTAAAGTAAATTTCCAGCTATGAGAGCCAATTTCCATCTACTTTTAGGGATCCAAACTTTCCTCATTCTTCAGACATTTATAGTCTGGAAAGAATAGTCCTGTTTCTATTTTAAGTAACAAAAATTAAGGTAATTCTTAATTAAGTTACAATCAAACCAACAATGTAAATTGAGTTACTATTATGTGAATGAGATGATTTTAATTCTCCCTTCAGTGACAATAAAAAGACTGATTTGTGTACAGAAGAGGAAGAGAAAGAGTAAAACTTACATATGCAGAATTATTTTATCTGGACACTGCAACGGTGGCTACAAAAACAGATGTGGTCTTCTCCATTTACACTAATAACAACAAAACTTTAATTTTGCACTTATCTGGACCAATAAGGATAAATGTTATGTATCAAAAACTCGTGATGGTACTTCACATCTCTCAACTTGTAGAGGGGAAAATTGCAGGCTTAGAATGCATAGACTCTTAGAGTATTTAGTAAGCGTTTGTTTGCATATACCCCGCAGAATTTCAAAATAGATATGAAATCTTTTCCAAAAATACATAAGATATAATAATACAAAAATAGTTAAAGGGAAAGATGTCAGAGAATAAAAGTGGAATATCTCAAGGAAACCAGAGAGAAAATGAGCATGCCACATGTGTATTGCATTCATCTTCTAAAATTGCTAAAGATGGATCAAATATTTGACTTTGAGGGTCCTGCAGACAAACCAAAAGGAAAACATTATTAACTACAACATAATCTGTGACCATATAACGAAAATATACCAGTGGTTAGGATATAACAATTTTCTTGACGTTTGGTTTCTCCAGTGGGGTTAAATGAATGGGAAACTGTAACAGATGCAGAACATTCATAAGGATATCATCAAATCTAAGCTCCTAATTTTGACAAGAAGGGAAATCCCAGGGAAATGATAGATTCTGTTACTCTCAGTGTTGTAATCAGGTCCGAGAGAGCTTAACTGAAAGAGTATTTTACTTATCTGAAAATCAATAATGCACTCAAATATTACATGGAGAGTCTTGATTAAACAGGTTAAAAGGCAAGGCAATATGAAAAAATAAACAAAATTTTAAACAAACACCAATTTGAGATGTTAAGTCCAATATAGCTATAATATCATTAACTTTGCGGGGAAGCATGACACCTGCTTACACGAAGTTTAATTCTTGTAGAGAAAACAGGTACATAGATATATGATATGACAGTATATGTCATATACTATATATGTCATAAACACAGTATAATGTATTTAAGTGCTATTGGCACATAGTAATTCAGTTATGTGGTCATAGCCAAGAAGGCAATGAACCCTCAGGCATCTGTGTGCATTCGTTTTGTTCAAAGTACAAACCATGTGAGGTCAGAAGCCATGCTAATTATGAAGGAAACCAGTGGTAAGTAAGATTTGCTAAGAAACACCACTCTCTGGAAACAATGCGAAGTGTTTGTATAAAGCTGGATTTCCCATAGATGGCAAAGAGGAATCACTGTTAGTACTTAATGATACTTTAACTGAACTGATACTAGTTTGCATCGCTATTGTGAAGAGCAACTAGGGAGAAAATCGTCATAAAATAATGCACTAGCTTCAAGTGACATAAACCACAAAAACTGCAAGACATAAACGGTGCTTTGGGTTGCAGAATTAAGTAACCTAGACCCTTTGACCTTTAAAATGTAGCTCTCAAATATAAGAGCTCTCTTACGGCACTCGGCATTTCTTTTTCCCATGCCATTATTTTCTTAAGGTAAATAACATACAAATCATCGGAAATGGTTAAAGACGTTAAAGGACGCCTAGTTTTAAAGCAATATTCGTGTAAGAGAACACAACTGTGGCCCAGAGTGATGAAGTGTAACGGACCATAGAGAGTTAAGAGCAGATCTGGGACTGAATCCAAGTGATTTGACCCCCAGCCCACTGCTCTGCCACCTGGGAGGCAGTAGAGTATTGTCTCTAGCCAGAGTGCCTGGCTATGAATGCTGGCTTCACTACTGACTAGCTGTACACTTTGGGCAGGGCATGTACCGTTTCTGTGACTCAGTGTTCTTATCTTCAAACTGAGAAGAACAATGGTAGCTACCTCATGGGGTTTCTGAGGGGAATAAGTGAGTCAATTGCTTAGAAGTGTTTAGAGTACCTAGCATAGTGTAAACAGGACATAAGGCTTTGTTGTTAATACCACTTCTTCCATGAGCCAGGCATGAGTCTGGCCTAGCAAAAGACAGTACACTGGGGAAACACACACTAAACCCTCATGAATGTGCTGGAATTGTTTTTCATCAGATCCACATGAGCAGGCATAGGACTTGGGACCAGGAGCCCTCAGAAGCCCTAACCTCTGTCTAGAAGCAAATTATAATGCTCTCTGCATGGTTAACCTTGCATATTTCTATACTTTTTGCCACCAAGGAAATCTGTGCCTCCTAACCATGGCTGTGGCTTATTCGTCTCAACAGTATCATTTTGCTAAAACCCCTTGCCACCATTTCATGCTTATTTAGAAAATGTAATAATGAATTAGAGATTTGAGAGTGAGAACTCTCCCTTTCTTGATGCAATGTAATAATGAATTAGAGATTTGAGAGTGAGAACTCTCCCTTTCTTGATGCTTTTTCAAGATATTATTTTCTTTTCTTCCATACATTTCTTATATCTGGCTCTTTAATAACTCAAAGACGCGATGGTCATAATCTTTTTGACTTTCAGTAGACATCAAGTCAACATGTTAATTCAATTTTTCTGACACTGAGTTTTTCATATCTGCAACTTGCAGAGAGAGGGATTAATCCTTACTGAATTAACTTCTGGAAAATATCTTTATAATTCAGAGATTTTAAACTAATCTTTATCATATTTAACCTCTCCCTGTGTTTGCATTAAATTAGTCTTTTAGCTGCAGTTAAAAAGACATGAAATAAACTGAAAAAATTAATTAATAAATTGAAAAAGCTTTCTAAAACCAGATCTGACTTGTTACCTTAATAGAGAGGATCATAATTCACAGAGGCCAACTCAATTTGAAAAGCAATTAGTTATCTTGTTAATTACTTCCTAATTTTTCTTAGAAACTGAATACGTTCTCTTATTTTCTGCCAACCTTCTACTTTTGCCAAGAGCCTAACTCTAAACTTCCCATGGGAAGCAACAGGATGTAGACATTCCAAGAAAAAGCCTTGATTGGAGGTAAATCTAACTTTGAATTCTGACTTCACTGGATTGGCTAAGCGATACCTGGAAAGGTCCTCAATCTTACTAATCTTCCTTTTTTCCAACAATACAATAAGGAATAATTGCACCTAACTCGTAAGTAAGTGTTTTATTTATTTATTCATTTGTTTTATTTGTTTGCTTGTTTATTCATTTAAATAAATTCTGTAGGCTAAAATAAATAAAGGGTTTTTCACAGTTCTCAGAAAAATAACAGACAAATAGATGGCAGCTACTGTTATTAATGAGGAATATTCATTGATTAATATTCCCAAAGGCCCAAGAGGAACAAAAATACTAATGTTCAAAGGTCTAGCTTAATCTTCATTACCTCATGCAGAAAATTATGAGTAATAGGACAAATATTTATGACTTTCAAGCTTGCTTTAATTGGCTAAATAGTTGCTGTTTTAAAGTTCTTTCTATATTCTAGACACTGTTTTTGCATTTTTAAAAAATATATGTTGCAAATATTTGCTTTTAGCTTATTGCTCGTCTTTTAGTCATTTATAGGATCTTTTGTCATAGTACTCTGTTATACTGATGCGACAAACTGTATCAGTCATTTTTCATTAGCTTAGGACATTTCAGTTAGTGATAGTCAACTAATGGCCTAACCAGAAAGAAAGGTAGATGAGAATTTTCTGGGTTTTTTTTTCCACATACAAGGTACTGTAGATTCTGATGTGTCCTCTTTGTAGGCTGAGAAGGGGTGATAGAGCCCACAGTGAGCATCACTGCCAAACTATTGAAACTGGCCCTGATGTCACTGATGATGTGTTAGGGAATAAAATGTTAAAAACCACAGTTACGTAATCAAGAAAAATAAAGAAACTAACATAAATCTTTACTTCTGAATCTGAATGTAAGATTCACTTTCAAATCAACTTAAGAGGAATAATAGCTTTGAAAAGAAGAGTTTTCATGTTCTACCAATATTGGGAATGCCTCCTCCACTTCGGGTTTTTTTTTTTTTTACCATGTAAATTGTACATCACATAAAATTTACCATTTTAACCATTTTAATGGTATAATTTAGTCCCACTAAGTACATTCACATTGCTTGGCAACCATCATCACCATTCATTTCTAGAGCTGTTTCATCTTCCCAAATGGAAATTCTGTAATGATTGAACAACAACTCTCCAATCCCTCCACCCTGTAGCCCCAGCAATCACTATTCTACTTTCTGTCTCTATGAATTTGACTACTCTAGGAACCTCATACAAGTGGAATCATACAATATTTGTCCTTCTGTTTTGGCTTATTTTACTTAGCATAACGTCCTCAAGGTTTATTCATGATGTAGCATATGTCAAAATTTCCTTCTTTTTTTAAAGACTGAATAACATTCTGTTGGATGTATATACCACACTTTCGTCATCCCTTCATCTGTTAGTGGACGTATGAGTTGTTTCAACCTTTTAGCCGTTGTGAGTAATATGATGAACATTGATGTAAAAATATCTATTTGCATCCCTACTTCCAATTATTTTGAGTATATACTAAGGGTGACACTTTTAACTGATGTTAATTCTTGTATTAAAGACTGAAGAGAAAAATTACCATTTGATTTTCTTCCCCCTCTTTCTGCAATGAAAATGACTGGTTGCTTGTGAGCAGTGGAAATCAATTTGGTGGAACCAGTTGTGACACAGATATCAGCATTGAACCATAGTAAATGTAGCAGATAGTTTCCTTTTGACAAAATCCAAGAATTACTTTAACATGACATGAACATGCAAATTGTGGAACCAGAAACCAAATATCTACATGTCTGTATAAATAAAAGTCTTATTTATTTATATCTTTTTGGTCTAGTTTACTAGAATTTAACTCTATAAGGGCACAGGGATAATCTATTTTGTTTGCCTCTGTATTTTCAGCACCTACTAGGAACACAATAAATATTTTCTTAAAAAATGAACTTTGAACAAGTCCCTAAGCACATTTGATACTCCACTTCAGAGCATATATATAACTTCCTTTACTATCACTTATATTGGATAATTAATTGAAATGATGCTGTCATTGTATTGCTTTTCCCTAACAAATTTTTTAATAATGCCCTTAATCCACTATCCATATTTTAAGCCAGTAAGTATAGTTTTATTCATCGATATTTCAAAGTCTCACCTTTGTCAGTCAATTCTATAATATATTTCCTCTTCCCCTTCCTACGTACAACACAATTTTTTAATTTAAAATTTATCATTATGCATTTTATAATGAACTAAAATAATTAATTTGTATGTATGGTAGATGACATATTACATTACCCCAATATTATATAGTAAGTGATATAAAAGCCTCTTTCACAATTGTGGGCTGCTTTCCCATTATTTGAATCATCTTTCCATCAAGCACCAGAGCTTGACCGGCCCTGATTCAGTGCTGTTTCCAATAACATTTTTGCTACCCTAAGTATGAATTGAGAAAAACTGCTTAACTTGCTTTCATTCTAATTAAATTTGGAAAGAAGATTCCAGGCTTCAAGGCTAAAGGCAGCACTTGAAAATGTTCACCGTTCAAGATTTATGACTCCCATCACCTCCTAAGGTCCCCACCTCCTGTCACTGTTCCACAAACACACCCTGCACTTGGTTTCTTCTAAGTCCTGGCTCACTCTGCCTCCTCTACTTAGACCATCCTTCTCATTTGAGCTTCACTTTGAGAAAATCTAACCACCTTCAGTGCCACTCAAATTCTTCATCCTCCGGGAAACCTTTCATATTCTTTCACTAACTGAAATGTCTCCCTCCTTTGAATCTGAATGGCGATTTGTGCTTTCTTAATTGAACTGATTATTATAGCATATACTTGCATCAATTCATTGCTAAACTTTCTCTCTCTCTGTGTGTGTCTGTCTCTCCCCTCTAACCTACATAGAATATTACATTGCACGACATTGGTTTCCCTAGGTGATAGCTGATAGATCGAAGGGGCTGAGTACTTCTGGAGAAACACTCAATCCCATCCTGTTTACCTCATTAGAGGAAGCCCATGTGTTCACTCCAAGACATCTCTCACCACCCAGATACTTCTTCCCATGCAGCTCTTTACACTCCCTAATATGACTCAGTTTCCCATCTCATCATTACCTCTAAATGCCAAACTTTCCAGAGGAGCCCCTGGAATTCATACCATCATCAGCAATATCTCCTAAATATTCAAACTTCCCTCTAAACGTTACCTTTACTTTCTGATTCCTGCCCCTCTACACCTCTCCCCGACGGAAGACACTGCTTTCTGCAGCTACTTCAAACAGTGGCTCCCATACTTTACACAGCACAGAGACTAGGTAGGTAGGTGGCAGGTATCGTTCTGTCTCTGAATTGGTGTGTCTAGAATAGTATTCTGTCTCCTTTGCCACCTTCTCCCAATTCCTCTGAAATAAATGCCATCATATGATTACATCACTCACTAAATTCTCTTACTACAGTTATCTATAGACCCCTTGAATAATCCCTCTCATTAACAGACTACTTTAGCATCTGGCTTATTGGGTTTTTTTCTCCACTACTACAACATACTCTTATTATCATAAGTGGTCACGTTAAAAATCCACAGGGACATTCTATTTGTAGGAGCATTTGGTAGTTGATCACGGTCTCTCTTACCAGTCTTGTTCTTCACATGGCGCCCAGACTGTGGATTTGCCTAGTATTTCTGCTACCTCCTGGCAGCCACTTCTCAGTACCCTTTGATGGATCCTCTTCCTGGTCTCTAAGTGTTGAGTTCTCAAGACTTAGTGTTTGGACTGTTTTTTTAATCAACATCCATTTTCTAGGTGATTTCATCCTGGCCTGTGATTTCTTTCCTGAATCCAGATCAGCATCTGCAATTGTCTTGCCAAGAACTATGCTTGTATACTGAAAAAGCCTCACACACATAAAATCTCCAAAAATGAACTCTTGATTCCTGCTATACAGTATCTGGGGGAGGGATGGGGTTCAATCCAGAACAAAAACCTCAGAGTCATTTTTGATTTTTTCTAATGCCCCAAACAGAATCCATCAGCAAATCCTTCGGCTGTCTTTTGACTCCCTTCTCAGCATCTCCCCAGCCTACCGTGATGCTCTAAGCCACTATCAAATCATGCCTGGAAAGTAATGCATCAAGTTCTGTTCTCACTCTTGTCTGAAAACACTGTTTTCACACTCACCCCCAACCCTGCACAACATCCTTCTAGAACAATCCTTTTATATTGGGTTATGCCTCACCTCTGGAAAAAAGCATTTAAAGACTTTCTTTTTAGCACATCTAGAATAAATCCTATATTCTAGTCCAGAGCTACACAACAGCTGGATTTGTTCAGGAAATTTAGGTTTCACATGAGTATGTTAATAGCTATTAAAAAATCGATTATTAAAATACTTTCAGAAAAATAACTCTGTAATTGAGAATCTATAAGGCTCTAGCCTCTAAACGTTTCCCAAACTGCAACGCAATATATAAATTTATTTCTTAGTAATAAAACTTGCAACTTTATGTACTGCCAGTCCTTTAAAAAATCTTTAAACATATTTGATAATAACTAACTAGAGGAACATTGAAAATTATCAACTTTCATCTTAGATATTGTATTTTGTTAATTCTTAGTAGGTTAGCAATTTTTTTGACATATCCATTTTTTTAACTTTTAGTAAAGTACTAAAATTGGTAGAGTTTTTCACATTTGTTTAACTAGCATTTGGAATTCTTTAAATTATTGCAGAAAAAAATAGAGAATTTGGTTACATTATTTCTTCTAGCAGAAAACGCTAATTTTATATTTGCCATTAGAAAGTCCATTTTGAGAATCTTTGGAGTTATTCTGAATTAAACCTATTGGATGCATAAAAATCTACTAGGAAAACACATTTTAATATCTTATTCAATCTAAAACATCATACATATTTTATTCCTACTTCTGTAGAAAAGAAAAAGCACAAAATGTTGCTTAGTATTCACCTCATAATTAATCTATATTTAGTTTGGCTAATTAAATGCATATATCTCCAAGTTTCAGACTATTGTTCAAACAACATGAATAACTACTCAGTCAAGGCAAACTACATGGTTATAGTTTATCCGCAAAATCTGAGCTTTTGCATTTAC